CCTGTATAGCTGTCCTTATCTCAACCAGCAAAAACCCTTGTTCCTTCCTATTATTGCTTATACTCTCTCTACAACAAAATTAGAGATAAGGGCAAAATAGTTTCTGCTGGGTAGCGAGGGGGCCGGGGGGAGGGGGGGTAAAGGAGGGGTCGAGGGGAGGGGGGAGAAATGACCCAAACAGTGTATGCACATATGAATGGAAAAAAAAAAAAAACTGTGATGACCAACATGGTGTATTGTTGGTGCAAAGATAGGCTGAGATCGATGGAATACCATTAAAGCCCAGAAATAAATCCTCACATTTACAGCCAATTGGTTTTGACGGAGGGTGACAAACTAGGAAAAGGATAGTCTTTTCAACAAAAGGTGCGGGGACAGCCAGATACCCACATGAAAATGGGTGAATCTGGACCCTTCCCTTGTATCACATAGAAGAATTCAAAATGGATCAAAGACCTAGACATCAAACTACAATGATAAAAGCCTTTAGAAGACGCAGGGAGAGGGAAAGCCTTCCTGACCTTGAATTTGGCAGTGGTTTCTTAGACGCAGCATCAAACGTACGAGTAGCCACAGGAAAAAATAGATGAATTGCACTTGATCAAAATCAGAAACTTTTATACTTCAAAGGACGCCATCAAGAAAAGAAAATGAAGAACTCACAGAATGGAAGAAAATATTTGCAAATCATCTCTCTGAAAAAGTTCTGGTGTCCAGAATATATAAATAATTCTTACGACTCAGCAATAAAAAGATTGATAACCCAGTTTTTTTAAAAACTTGGTGAATGTTCTAAATAAACATTTTCCCAATGAAGATATAAAATGGCCAGTGGGCACACAGGAACACTAGCCATTGCAGAAATGCAAACCAAAACCGTAACGGACACTCCATCCCCAGGAGGAAAGCGAGGATGTAAAAAGTAGGCAGCAGCAGGAGTTTGCCAGGAGGTGGGAAAATGGGCACCCTGGTGTTTTGAGGGTGGGGCTGCGGAATGCTGCACCTGTAACGCAGGCCCAACCCAATCTCAAGCAATGTTCGATGGACACAGGAAACCGAAGAGCACGTGCCAACATGGGGCTGGAGGAGGAAGAGAGGAGGAGGCACCGATGGAGTCATCCCATCGCTGTGGAACAGGACACAGGGAAACTCGCTGAAAACTGCGAACGACACAGATCGGGGAAAAGGCGAGGAAGGGCAGTGGAGGGGTGACAGTGGCCTAAGCACAATGCATGAGCAGGTGTCACACCAAGGCAAACGTCCCACAGAACAACCAACAGAACCCTAAACAATGAAGGGCAAGAGTGGGAAACAGGTCACGCTAAGGGGAGGCCACACACGAGATGGAGGGTGACAGAAGGAAGCTATCAAGGTGAGTATGGGCGATGTAATTCCTGTACAAGAAAGAATGTAGAATTTTAAACCTGTTGAAGTCACCATAAGCAGGGGACTAAGGTAGAAAGGAGAAAAAACAAGGGAATTAACCAACTGATGTTTTAATACATACATACATGGAAATATCACAAGGAAACTCCCTGTACAGCTATCCTAAACAAACAAAAAAAGGTCTTTTTTCAAAAACAGAGGACAGGAAGGTAAAACAAGTCCTGTCTGGGGTTTGGAGGATATAAGGAAAGGGTGTAGGAGGTGAATATGGTGGAATATTATGCACTCGTGTATGAAAATGCAAAAATGAGACCTGCTGAAACTGTTCCAGGAATGGGAGGGGATAAAGGAGAATGGTGGAGGGGGAATTCAAGTATGATATACCGTAAGAATCTTATAAATGCCACAGTGAACCCCCAGCACAATGCTAGTCAAATTTTTAAGTATATAAAATAAATAATAAGTAAGTGGTACAACTGCTTTGGGAAACAGTTGACAGTTCCTTCCGTAGTTACACACACACAAATTGTACCTGACTGTCCCTGGCAGCCTGAGATCATCTCAATAGCCAAGCAGCAACAGCAACCCAAACACCCACCCGCTCGTGAATGGATGAACAAAACAGTGCAGATGAGAAGGACAGGCCCGGCCACACCGTGAAGGGAGGCACTGAGGCCCCAGCACCTGAGTGGAGGGGACTGGGGGCTGACAGATCAGAGTGACATCCCAGAAGTCACACCGCGAACTTGGGAAGTTGAAGGAAGAATCTTGTGGAGGAAGTCAAAGAAATGGCATCTCCACACGGGGAAACAGGGGCGTAGAGTCTTGAAGGCGGGAAGGAAGTCTGGTGAAGGTGCCTAGGACACGGGACAGACACCCTTGATGAGGAAGCCACAGTGGACAGACTGCCAGTGCAGGACGGGGGTGAAGTGGGGGGTTTGGTTGACAGCAAGACCCAGGGTTCTTCACCACGCCCCTGCCACGTGACAGAAGAGCAAATGTGACCTTCACGTTGGTTCCCAGACAACCGTACCCTTCTCCTGACTCCTCATCGAAGGGCTCAGCTGGTGGCCCCTTAGCCAGGTCAACAGGGACTGCCCTTGACCCTTAACCCTAGGTGGAAAGGAAACCCACCAAGGGTCCTCCCACCAGCTCCTGCGTACCGTGCCACCTGCGCTCAGGCTGGCATTTAACCGTGAAAGTCCCCGCGAGCTGCAGAGAGGGGACCTGGAACTCCCAGTGGCACTGGCTTAAACATCGGCTCACAGACGCTCAGGTAATTCACGCCTTCGCGCTGCTCGCTGCCTGCTGGATGAAAGACTGGGTCATAATTCCAGTAATCAGCTGTGTACATCTTTGTCTGAGCACAAAGGCAGCTCGCTGTCACTCGTCACTCTGCACTGGATGAGCTGAAATTTATTCAGGGAACAGGGCTTAGGCCGGGGAGGAGGGCTTCTGATTTCTTTACCATTCTGCCTTTGACAATGACTCTGATTTGGAACTAATTTTGGGTGTCAAGCACACGTTAACTGCGTCCCTCTCAAGGGCTCTTTGCCTGTGTCACTTGTTGGAGGAGAATAGGCAGGGTCCCCTTTTGGGATCAGATCCAAGGATTTCTGAAGAGCTTTTGTCAAGAGATGAGAACCCTACAGAGAATGTCATCCACCAGGAAGAGTCACTCACGTCCCTGAGCGGCACTAGCTTCTTGGTATGTTCACCAGCAGAAGGGCCCAGGCTTGACGGGCTGAGGAACTGAGGTTGAGCCTCTTCTGTGGGTCAGGGTCTCTAGGGACCCATGGAGAGACATCAAGACTCAGCCAGGTGACCAGATGGCTCCATGCCTCAAGTTTCCCCATCTGTTCTGTAAAGTGGGGGCATTGGTAACACCCATCTCACAGGCTGTCTTTGAATCAAGATCCTCCTGATCTCTGCCTTCTGAGTAGCTGGGATTACAGGCATGAGCTACCCAGCCTGGCTTCAGTTTTTAAGTGGCAGTGTTCACATTTGGGAATACTCCTTCACAAACTTGTGTTCATCACTTGCTCTGTGATTTGCCCCTAGCAGGAAGTGAAATTAATTAGTCCTTGTCCCTTAGCAGTGTGAAAAATGGGCAAATGCACTTTTTGTTTAAAGTTAGGATGTGACTTTTAACTTCCCAGGCAAGGGAAGGCAGGGGAGGGGGGACCACTAGTCTAGTTCGGGCCCTGTCATGGGAGAGGTTGCCGGGAAACACCAACTCCGTATCAGCTAGCAAGTGCCATGTAACAACACATTTATTATTCACTCATGAGTCTACAGTCAGCTGACAGTTCTGTGGTCTGGACCAGACTCCGCCGATTCCGGCCGGGTTCACTCATGCATCCCCTACCAGCAGCAAGCAGGGCTCCTGACCTCACTCGACATTGGCCTTTCATCTGGGGTTGACTGGCTCTTAGCTGGGTCTGGCTGGGTTGTGTGCCCCTCGTCCTCCCTCAGGCCAGCCTGGACTCCAGCCGTGGCGGGTGGCTGCTGGGCTCCAAGAGAAAGAGACAAAAACATGGAGGTCAGGAACAGGGGCATCCTCACCTGTGGAGTCGTCCAGGAAGATAGACGCCAATCCTGGATGGAAATATTGCCAAGGGTGACTAGAAGGAAGAAGGCGTGGCCATTTGACTGTCCTGGCATTTATTGTGCGTGTGCACGGGGCACACGCCAGGACTGGTGGTGTGCACTGAGGGTGTTTTTCTGTGCCGCAGACAATCTTGCAGAAGTTCTAGCTAACCTGTTCAAAATTCTGACTGTCCCTTGAGATAGGTTTCTAAAAGTGCACTGAATGAATCAGAGGAGCTCAACACTTTAAAAGCACAAAGTACGTATTTAGAACCCCCTGGAGACGTTGTAGGCTGTTTGGCCGCTCTGGTCCTGCTGTGACGTGGTGTTGGTCTTGGACTAACACACCCTGCAGAAGTGTGGATCTTTTTCTTTAAATATGGTGTCTCGTTTTCATTTCTTTTAATGCCTGTGAGTTTGAACACCACTTGTATGTTGTCTTTTCTTTTCTTTTTTTGACAGCACTGGGATTTGAACTCAGGGCTTTACACTTGCTAGGCAGGCACTGTAGCACTTAAGCCATTCTGCCAGCTGAATGTTCAATGTCTGTGTCTTCAGCAAATTGCCTGTTTGGGCCATGGCAACAAGGTACCTAATTAATTCCAATTTACAAAAGCCTTGAGAATGGAAATCAGAGAGGTTATGTGACCTGTTCAAGGTGGCCCAGCCTGCTGGAAACAGAGCCAGGCTTTGGAAATCAGATCTCAGCTCTTTATATCGATTCCAGCTTCCTGATCCTACAGAACAGAAAACTGGGGTTCTGAAATGTTGAGTAAAAACATGCCTAGAAAAAAAAATCAGAAAATGGCCCCAGGGAGCCTGCATGCAGGCTCAGGAGGCAACAGGTCCCCAGGGCCAGGCCTGTCCTGTGAGCGGTGTCTATGGAGTGCGTGTCAGGCGCATGAGGACTGAGGCATCTGCTATGTGAGCAGGCTGGATGCAAGGCAAAGGTGAGGGTGCAGGCCTGAGCCCCATTTCCCTCCTGTCCCCCCACCATCCCCTGTCACCCTGCTGTCTCTCTCCAGCTGGCCCGCTACACCAAGGAAGGCTTCCTGCACTTGGGCGCCCTAGGGACCACCACACTCCTCCCTGACACCCGCTGTCTGGTGGACAACTCCAAGAGCCGGCTGCCCCAGCTCCTGGACTGTGACAAAGTCAAGAGCAGCCTGTACAAGCGCTGGAACTTCATTCAGGTGAGCCCCACCCAGCTGGACCATTGGGTACCATGTGCGGGCCCCAGAGGGAAATCTGGCTTCCCCAGGAGACCCCTGCAAAAGGTCCTCAGCCCTGGGCCAGGCTCATAGAACCAAAGTGCGTTCCCACAGGAGTGTGTGGGAAGCAGATAAGAAAGTCAGATCTTATGAGAAATATATGTAAAAGAATTTAGACAGGTGCTGGTGGCTCATGCCTGTAATCCCAGCTACTCAGGAGGCAGCAATCAGGAGGACTGAGGTTCAGATCCAGCCCGGGCAAATAGTTCATGAGACCCTATCTCAGGGAAAAAAAAAAAAAAACGCATCATAAAAATGCTCAAAATATAGGCCCTGAGTTCAAACCCCAGTACCAGGAAGGGAGGAAGAGAGAGGGAGGGAGGAAGAAGGGATGAAAGGAGGGAGGGAAGAAAGGAGGAAGGGAGGGGGGGGGAAGGGAGGAAGGGAAGAAAGAGAGAAAGAGAAGGAAGGAATGAAGGGAGGGAGGGAGGGATGGGGGGAGAGAGAGAGAGAGAGAGAAGGAAGAAGGAAGGGAGGAAGGAATAATGTCCCAGGAAGACCCTCTTCCTCGGCACTGGGTTCAGTCACTTGACCTTGAATTTGGCTGGACCATACCCATGTTCTGCCTTGAAAGTCTCCATGGGAGGTCCTCACAGACCCTTGTACTGTGCAAAGAATGTTCTCCCCACCATGAGAAGCTCTGTGCCAAGAACCGTGGTGGCCAAACCTCTGTCTTCTCTGTCTGTCTGTCTCCTCCTTGTTACTCCCTCTCTTTCCAGAACGGAGCCATCATGAATAAGGGTACAGGGCGCTGCCTGGAGGTGGAGAACCGGGGCCTGGCTGGCATCGACCTTATCCTCCGTAGCTGCACAGGACAGAGGTGGACAATTAAGAACTCCATCAAGTAGATGGGAGCCCAGCCCCGGCACAGGGCCCGACCGTTCTCACCATCGGTCACACAGCGGAGAGACAGTGGGACTAGGTGGGCCTCCGGGGCTCCTCCAGGGCAGCACAGGGACCCCAGGTGAAGACTTTTAAGTCCCCTCAGTCTCTCAGCTGCCCTGAGGCCTGTGCCCCCTAAAGCACCCCCCACTTCTCTGGAACTGTTTCCTGCACCTCCAGATGTGACCTGGTACCAAGGGGTGAGGCTGGCCACAGTTCCGTGTCACCTCCCAACCCGAAACCAGGGTCTGGGCCTGGCAGGGTCCCTTCTTTTGCTTCTGAATTTCACTCCAGCCCTCAACAAAATGGGGTGGGGGTGCTCCAGCTACATCCTCGCTCCCCCTCAGAATTAGGGTGAGGCGCCGAGGTTCTGCTTCCTCTGAGGTTGCTTCAGCCCAGAGATCCAGCCACACCGCCAGGCACTCGCCACCCCCACCCCGACCCTCCCATCAGGGTGGCTTTGGAGAGCCCAGCTCTGGACTTTTCTGGACTCTCCCGTGGTGGCCTGGGAGGGGCAGACACCTCCTGTCCTGGTCACCTGGGTACCGAGCTCCTAAACTGTGCATGGGGCAGTTCTTGCCTGAGTCTGGAAGGATCCAGAAAAGGGCTGAGCATGCAGGACAGTCTCAACAGAGTCCCCACTGCCAGGTGGAGCCAGGCTGGTGCAGCTCTGCCTGCTGGATCCTCGTCCTGGTCACCGAGCACTGGGGGTCTCCGTGGAGAACATAGGGCTGAAACCCCAACGCAGCAAAGGGTGAGGAAACCTCGAAGACGCTTTGTGCTCCCTGCAGTTCATCCCCGCTCTGCTGGCCAACGGGAGGAGGCTACTGTCCCCTTCTCTTAGGAGTGACTGTGGCTTTCCAACTGCCCTCTGGTTAGGGTGATCCTATAAATCAGAGTTAATATATGGCCACGAGTGCATGCACGTGTGTTGTGTGACAGGTGCACGCGTGTGCGTGTGTGTGTGTGTGTGCGCGCAGTGGCCTTGGGTTTGCTGCTTAATGGCTCACCTGGACAGGGGACAGGCTGTGGAGAGTCATGCAGGGTTGGCCTCCTGTCACCAGCTCACTGGCCAGGAGGACACCATTCAGCTTTGCCTGGAATGACAACTGCTTCGGCCACTTTCCATCTTGCTCCCTGCGCAGTCCCCAGCCAAGCCTTGCCCAGAACCAAACCCTGTAGTTACCCCATTACCCGGAGTGAGGGTCAGTGTCTCTTTTGGTGACATTTTATTGGTGATCATCCCCTGGTCCCATCTCCCACCTTGTGAAATAAATATGTCAGCACTTCCCAGCGTGGCCTCTTTTGATGCTTGGTCCTTCTAGAACCTGAGCTGGGAGGGGAGCTCCTGGGACATGGTGGAGGGCTCCTTTGGGTTTTGGGGGTGTGTTTCTGAGATAATGCCCGGGTGCTCTTGCGCACATCTTCCCTCCAAAACTAGACAGAGCTGGACATTTGACACTAGCTCACCGGTCCCTTGTTGAGCCCAGTTTGGGAGGGTCAGGTTGGCACCAGAGGCTCTAATGATACGAAGAAGAGCTGATCACCTTGTCTGGCCACTACCTGACCCTTCTCCTGCTTCTAGCAAATTCCACCTCTGCAGACTGTGCAGCCCATGGCTGGAGTGTCTGTCCCTCTCATGCTCAAGGAAAAGCGAAATGCCATGAGACAACCTTCCGATGGAAATGGGAATGGCAGGGAGTCCCCTCGGCTGTGACAGAAGAAGTCCCTCCTTCCTGGGAGGGAGCCAAGAAGCGCCATCTTGTTCTGTGTCATGTGGCACAAGTATACATATAGCAGTTGCCATTTTTCTTGGGGTTCTTTGAGAATTGGGGTCCACAATTAGACTGATGGAAAATGTGGTTTGTCAATGTCTTCGTCTGTCACCTTGAATATCAGAGTGTCAGGGTAAGTTTGAAGAGAAGAGCGTGCAAGAACTTCAGGTTTAGGGAAAGGTGAAGGTGGGGACCCGGGCCCAGTGTTTGGACAGCCTTGACTTGTCTCAAGGCCACACGTCTGCAATGGGGACGTCATCAAGTGTCCTGGGACTTCAGGGTGAGTGTCCCTCCTCTGGTGCCTCACGGCAGGGTGGCTGTTGGCTTTGCTTGCTGTGTGGTGGAAAGGGTGCTGGGTGAGGCCATCTGGGAGGGCTTGTTCCCTCGGGGCCTGGGAACATGGTCCTTGGTTTCGGGGTCCAGGAGCCTGGCCTTCATTCACCCCAGCCACAGCCATCAACCTCCCGAAGGCTGGTGGTGCCTGAGAACTGGCCAGAGCTTGAAGCCACCTTCTTGGTCAACACTCTCTTTGTCCCCCCAACATCCTACCTGGGTCTAATGACAGCTTTGTGGGTGACTGGAGGCCCTGGGAGGAAACAGGAATTGATGAAGCCAGACAAGGGAAGGAGAGAGGGAGAAGTGGGGACCCAGGGGATCCTTTGGTCCCAGGTCCTTTGGGGGAATCAGAAAGTTCTGCCATGCGTCTCTGTGCACAGTGACAGCCAGGCAGCAAGGTGCAAGCGTCCAGCTCAGGAAAAGTATGGGTTCCTTCACCAAATACTGGCATTTGGTTCCATCGATAGTTAGAGAAGTGACAGATCAATCTCACTGTCACTTTGCCTCAGGGTGGGCACAGCAGAGGGGACCGAATTCCAACGTCGCTGGCTGTGTCCCCTCCTGCATTCTCCTGTTGGTGGCCATTTTTTTCTCATTCCTCTATTTTCCCCTTAAATTATAGAAAAATAGCACCGATGGTATTTCTGCTGAACACCAAAGCCATCAGAGGCCATGTCTTTGATTTCTGCCATTTCTCCTGTGTGTTCTTTCTGGCGGTCCTTACTCTGGTGGCTAGAAAAGGGAAGGCCAGACACCACCATCTGATGCCACCATCTGACACCACTAAGCCACGTTACGTGGGTTTCTAAAGCCATTCTTGTTTTCATCTGTATTTTTCTACCATTGTTAAAAATATCTCAGTTCTGTCGAGTGAGGTCCCAGCAGAGCAGGTCCCTCTTCCAGGGCCATCCAGGGAGGGAGCTGTCCCTAATTTATGAACTGTGAGCCTTTGTTCAACTTTGTTTGGAAGGCCAGAAGGGCTGGATGATGGCTGGGGAGGGGCTGGGAGCCCGGGACAAGCCAGGTGACTGTCCTGATACTCAGGTGGCAGCACCTGCTCACTGGCAGTGCCAGGCTCTTGCTTTGATCTGAGCCCTTGATCAGCTATATTGAATCGAGAATTCCTGAATTCTTGGCAGGTCTCCTTTTTCACTCATCAGGCAAGTTTTCTAGACCTGAGTTCAGGGGTCAGTGGCAGACCCAAACTCCAGGGGAGCATTGCAATCCAGTTCAGCAAATGTACTGGGACCCCTCTGCTGGGGTTTGCTTTGTAGGACTCCTTGGGAAGGGAAAGAAGGCAAAGTTGGGGGAGGAGGCGGAGGTAAGACCCGCTGAGCTACTTAGTGAACAGGTAATGGAGTGACCTTTGAAACTCATCTGTCAGAGGTGAGAGCAAACGCAATTTATGGAGGCTCCCCACCGCTGGAGCCCGGGCATCCCCAAGAAGAGTTGACGTGAGTGTGTGGGGGCTGTCGAGGGATTCAATGTTATCAATTTTCTTTATTCTTTTCCCAAAGAGGGATGGATGGCTTCCTGTTGACATGGGCTGTCCACCATAACGGCCCAAAGAGCCAAGGAGAAGAGAAAGCCCAAGAGGGATCCTTGATGTGATCAGTGTAATTTATTTTTTATTACAGTATTTCTCCAGAATATATAAGCATACAGTGGTTTTTACTCATAAGTCTATTACAAGTAGGAAATAAAAATTAATTTAGGGCTGGGCACTGGTGGCTCACATCTATAATCCCAGTTACTCAAGAGGCAGAGATCAGGAGGATCGAGGTTTGAAGCCAGCCCAGGCAAATAGTTCTAGAGACCCTACCTTGGAAAATCCCATCACAAAAATGAGCTGGTGGAGTGGCTCAAGTGGTAGAACGCCTGCCTTGTAAGTGTGAGGCCCTGAGTTCAAACCCCAGTGCTGCCATTAAAAAAAAATGCAATCATGTCACCAGTCGGTCATCTGTTCTGTGTGAGGTTACACAGTTCTCTGACACAGAGCAGAAACTGGGGTCCCTGCAGGTGGCCGATGTTACTTTGCTTTTGTTATTACGCGTCTATTTCACCAAATTTTTCTCTGATCAACCTCATCATCGGGACATTCCCCCGTCTCGTGGGAGTCAGGCTCCCCGGCCGCCGAGCTCTCTTTGGACCGTCGGGCAGAACGAGCCCCTTGCTCTGGTTTCTGAGGACACTTGGAAGCGCAAGTGCCCCTTGCGTGTGATTTGCATATCATTTGCATGCGGTTTGCACACACCCCTGGACGCTCTGGGTGATGTCGGGTGACTTGCAGCACCGGATGCACCGCAAATGCCGTGCACGTGGGTGTTAGACTCGGTTGTTCACGGCGTAAATAAAAAGCCGTGTTTGGTCCAGAAGGAATTCACAAAAGAATTTTCAGTGCACAGCTGGCTGAGTTCGCAGGTGGGGAACGCGCACACAGGAGCGCCAACTGTATACACTTGTCACCGGCACTTCAGGCGGAAGTCTGAGGCTGCAATTCGAGGAGCACATTTGGCAATTCTAGGTCTGGGCCGTGTGTTCGGGATGAGGTTGTCCTGTCCTGGGGTCTGGGGACATGCTAAAGGGGACGTCAGTGAACTCCCGTCCCTTACCATCTGGGGTCTGTGGCAGGGAGCCTGGACACGTCCAACAGTGGCCTGGCCCTCCTCTCCACTAGGGAGGCAGTTAGGGTCAGAGGGTGGGGTCCCACGATGGCATTAGTGACCTTGGAGGAAGAAGAGGGACTGGAGGTGGCACACCTGCTGGGCCTCACCACGCCATGAGATCCTGGTCCCTTGACGTTGGACCTCCGAACATCCAAACTGTGACCTCGGTAAACCTGTGTTCTTTACACAGGGCCTGGGCTCAGGCATTTTGTCACAGCAACTGAAAACGGACCACAGCAGGGACAATCTGGGATTGTCTGTGCCCAGAGAGTCGGAAGGACTCGCTTTGTGACAGAACCATCTGTCCAGCTGGGGCCAATGTCTCGGGGCAAGGGTCACAGGGATGGTGGCCTTTAATGTGACTGTCACCCCAGGCTCCTGTGGCTCCATGCTCCCGGGTGGACCTTCCGATGTCCCAGCCTCCAACTGAGTCACCGAGTGAAGTGACAGACACAGCGAGTGTCTAAGAGCTTCTTTCGGGGACAGGCATGTGGCATCTGGGAATGAAGTCACTGCTGTGACCTGTCGCTCTTGAAGAGGCCGCGGGGCAGCCCATAGTTTATTTAGCGGGCGACTCACAAAGAGGGAACAGAGCAGCATCTGTAAGACTTTGTTTTCGAGAAAGCTCTGTAGGTCCAGTGGTGAGAGAAGAAATGACCACAGATTTTTGGGAGTTTTTTGGTGGGACTGGGATTTGAACTCAGGGCTTCCCACTTGCAGAGCAGGTGCTCTATTGCTTGAGCCGCACCTCCAGTCCATTTTGCTCTGGTTAGTTTGGAGATGGGGTCTCTCTTTCTGCCCGGGGCCATCCTGGGCCACCATTCTGTTACCGTAGAGTTCCCACCACTGCTGGGGTGACAGGCGTGCGCAGCTGTTGCTTGACATGGAGTCTCATGAACTATCCAGGCTGGCCTCGAAACTTGAGCCTCCTCCCTCAGCCTCCCAAGTAGCTGGGATTACAGGCGTGAGCCACAGTGCCCGGCCTCTCACAGACTCTCCTTGCTGTGTTTGGTTCTCGAACACCCCAAAGACCCGAGTGTCACATGCTCCTGCCATGATGTGCTGTGTCACCACAGGCCCTGGGCTGGAGCCTCTGTCACTGTGACCTTTCTTCTTTTAGCTGATGGCCTTGGGGCTTGTGTTACAGTGGAACACTGACTAACACACGTGTGAGTTCTACAGTTTCTCCAGGGGACAGACATGGCCCTCGTGCCTGGAAGAATCTCAAATAACCAGCGCCCCACACCTTAAGTGACTTCCCCCCCGAGACCCCAGTGTGGAAAGAGGAGGGTGACTTTCCGCTGGAGAAACCCAACCACCCGTGTCAGCCATGTAACCCCGGCAACGTCACCTGGCTAAGTCACGAGGATCGGCGCATCCCTGGCACCAGGTGGCAGAAATGGCCCTGTTTCCCTCTGTGATCCTCCTCCTAAGCAGCCCTGATAAAACACCAAATCCTAACATAGGATCATCCTACAAAACGCCTGACCAGCTCTCCTTAAAACTGTCATGGTTG